CAATGTCATTACCGTTTACAATTATTTCTATTAAATGAAGTTGAATGAAAATTACTTAATTGTTTAATTAAATAATGTACTCAATTAATATGTTCAACGATTCAGAAAAATGTGCGTGTTTTTTTAAGTATGGAAGTAATTTAAGTGCAATAAACAATTAATAAATATTAATAAAAAATAAATTAAACACTTCATTCAACAATTTGTATTATAATTATTTTGTAATTATTCATTTATTTCGTTAATTTCATGTAACTTCAAAGCAATGACAATCATATTTATTGAAACATTTGTAGCAATACCTCACGTAGTCCACATAATCGGTTTGTAACAAGACAAATCGACGACTTTAAAAGCACTTATGAAAATAAAAAAAGAGACTTGGATATAAAAAGATAAAATGTAATCATTGAAAATGTATTGTTTTTAAATTTTCAAAGCGGATTATGTAGAATCCGGACTAATTGAAGCCGAACTGTACGGGGCATTGTTTACATAAGTAATTATTTATATAAATTTTAAATAAATTTAATAATTATAGATGATATTAAGTCAATATGTAATAAAACCTAATCAGCGTTTCTCAAACTGGTTCTCGACTTCAAACAAAAGACTAAGAACGACAAGATAAATGTTATAGTCAAATACATAATATAAGATTCATCAAGATCAGAACCAAAGTTAAAAAATGATGCCAAATATCCGGCAGTGAAAAAATATTGTCTAAAACAATAAATTTTTTTGTTTATTTTACAACTATTTCTGTTTAAAACAAATTAGTTTTTACTAACTAATATTAATTAATAACGCAATATTTACTTAACTGAAAAATCTTTTTATCGAGATTTTCTCAATCAGTCAATTAAATATATTAATTGGATTGTGATTAGTTGAAAACCGGTTGCACAAGGGATCGGCCGATAAAATTTGAAATTGCATGGATCCTCTGGGAACGTTATTGATGTTTTTTCATCTTACCTTCATCTTTCACTGTTGGTCGACCAATGTAATTTAATCGTTTCGCAATGCGCAGTACATTAATGTTCCTGTGTGCATGTAAAGCCACTTTATTTAATCGTGCTCATTCATGTGGAGCTTTGGTATTTAAAATCGAAATTTTTAATTAACGAAATTACCGTAATTAGTAACTCGAGGGAGCCATGACAGGCAGGTGGTCTAATTATGCTAACGAATCTTTTTGCAAAAAAAAAAATCCGTTTGCAAAGAACGGAGAAAAAAAACACTCATAATTGTTCACGTCTAACGTTTTCATAAAACAACGAAATTAAATCATCAACTCTCATGTTGCATTTGATTTATCTGCTCTTACAGTTTATCCAATGGAAATCGATTAATTGGTTTATTTGATTGCATGTGTTTATGCCGATTGTAGTTAAGTTGTTTATTCTGTCTAAAGGTTTAATAAATCAACGAAATGAAATCATCGAATCGTGATTCATGAAATATTCTATGGATGTAGAAAAAAAATACGATATATGGTAATTAATTCCACCCATTCTTCATACTGATTATCCATAAATTCTATAGATTATGAGGTAAACCTGAGTACTGAATTACAATAAGTATGAATTGATTAACAAGTAATTACTGGATCTTATGCAAAAAACTGAAATATAATGTCTTTAGAGAAAAGTTCAAATATGTTTATCGAATTGTTGAAAATTGAATTTATGAATAATTTGACCAGATAACTGCATGAAGAAAACCTCGCTTAGTGCAGATTTGGAAAATATGCCGTACTGATTGAAACAGTACTAATCGAAGACTTTAAAAGCGCATAAAAATAATTATCATAAAAAGTGATAATAAGACAAAAAAGATCATTTACTTTGCATAACTAAAATTTAGTTTGTTTTGACATTTTCAAATCGTATTATAGTGTATATTAATTATTTTATTATATCGATTTTTATAGCTGTAACATCAAAATTATTCATATACACATCGTACAGAACTTAATTGTCTGAGTATATTAGTAAGAAGTATTACAGTAACACAAGTTTAAATATTGTAAGTGGACCGTGAAAAAAAACAAAGATGTAATTACTTTTATATGAATTGTATTAAATGAAGGTCATTCAATCAAAATATTCATGCATATGTTTACACGTTTTCTCATGATCTTTAATTAAATAGGTTATGGGTTTGCCTTTCTTCATCATATGTTATCCAACTACAATGAAACACAAATATATTTACACTTTAATTTACGTAAGATATTTCAGTCGCAAAAAAAATATACACGAAATATATGTGAATCTCCTTATCCGGTTTTATACAATCTACATAAGATATTACTTTACGTAAATTTGGAAACTAATTTGTAGATGTTTTAGGAAATTGTATCACCGTTTATTATTTCATAGAAATTGTTATGAAATATACTTGAATTGCCTATTTTGGCAAAGTTATATGCAAATTCTAATTCAACTAATCAATTTAAAACAATATTGGCAAACACATTTTGATGGAAAAAATAATGCATTATTTAGTTGAATTATTTAAGAAAATACCAACAAGATTTCTGCAAATTTTGAACAATGTATACAGTAAGACTTCGTTTAGCGCTTTAGATGTGTTCCTGAAGCAGAACGCTAAACGAAACAGGGAAAATTAACAAATTTTACTTTAGTTTTAAGTTATATTTATAGTAATTTGCAGTACATAAATATTAAGTATATTTTTGTGATAAACGTCCTCTTTTGATAATTTAGATTTTTGGCGATAAAATCGTCTAGAGTAATTTGTCGATTTTGTTTATCGTTTCTAAACTTTTTCTGAGAAAATCTGTAACAAGTTCTTTTGGTTCATCGTCTTGAGAATCACTATTTTCACGTTCTTCAATTCAGTAACTCCTCAATATCCTACTCATCTAAATCTCAAACAAGCAAAGATTCCGGATACATTTTGAGCTTTTGTAAAGTTTCCAGCAAACCGTTTTATATCCACTAAATATATAATTTATTTCTGTGATTATCATTATATATAATAGGGTGATTGGTTATCAAACGTAATTCTTTCAAAGACGATGTTCGATATCCGAATTTTTCGTTAACCATCTTCTATTTATGAAGCTGCTTAAACTTATATATTTTGCTTTATATAGTTATAGTTAGATCAGCGTTTTTCAACTTAGGAGTTAAATGAGTTATTAAAAATTTCATAAGTGAAGTCCAATATAATTTTCTTTTATTAATATTTTTCTATGGTTTCCATCAGGAAACTTACATAATATGTATAGTAGTGTCAAAGTGAATCAAGGAAGAAATAGATTCATTATAAATTACAAAAAAATAGAACAGTAAAAATGTTATATGTAATAAATATTAAAAATAATGAATTATAATTGCAAATTTCCTATGTATAATATAAAGTAATTTAAACTATAACATGCTGTGAATCTGTATATAAAAAAATAGTAATAAAGTAATTCCCATCGAAGTAAATTATGTCTGTAGTTCAATTAATTCATGACAAGAAACAATTTACATATCTCGGCTGCTACAGCTGAGCTGCGCTTGACCTTAGGATATATAAAAATAATAATAAAACATTTATACAATACCATTAGCAATCTCTCCCGAGATCGACGTATCATAAAAATGGATATGATTTTGAAATGGATTTGAAATCAATCAATTATCACGTAACGCATGTGCTTTCAACAAGTTATAAATTATGCGCTAAAGTGTTTCATAATTGTATACAGTTTTCATTCGAAATTAAAACGGCGGATTCGATTAATTGGTAATTATGAAGATGAGGCGACTCTCGATGTCGATGATGAACTGTTGTGCAACGTACATTTCTATTTAGAATTGTGAAATGTATCAACATTTTCTAATTCAATAATATAGTGAAGTTGTTCAAATCAGCATATGCAAATTATTTGATTACTTTAATTAATTCTTAACCAACTTGATCTTGTATTATGATTTCACGATCAAGCTAAATTTTATATTTTTTTTTCATCATGCTTTTTAATTAAATCATAATAAATATATTAATTATTTTTATTTAATAAAATTATTATGATAATAACAAATTTGTTTATTTTTATTGACCCAAACTAATAAATTACTTATTTATCAAAAACAACTTGAAAATTATACTAATTATGTAATAATAACAAAAATATTCAAGTAAACTCAAGTTCAAAACTTCTAATATATCTTTTCAACAGGGACTGTAGGGTTAGATGAAAATATAAAAAATAGTTGATCAAACACAAAAGTCAACATTTACAAAATATATTATTTTTGGTTTGTTTATTATTTTATTAATTTGTGATTATATTAATTCAATTATATAATATTCTATATAAAATTCAGCACTTTAGAATAATATTGTTTTTAGAAATTTGTTTAATACATAAAAATCATGATTTAATATAAATCAGTGTCAAAGTTATTTTACAATTAATTATTTATAAAATTGGATCATTTCTTTCATACACTTATTTTTTTAATATTGACAATTAGATAAATACATACAATATTTTTAATATTAAATCATTTTTCATTAACTATTTTTTGTTTGTTTTATTCTAATGGATAAAAGAGGAAAATAATAATAATTGAATAATCTTCCAAATTCAAGAAAAACGTTAAGTTCAAATTCATTAAATTTATGATTACAAATACGGATTTTTTATGTTTTTTCTTTAAATTGAATAAGAATAAATATTTATGAAATCAATTAACATTACTAATAAACCTTCTTTTTATGAAAATTATGATTATTAATGATATTTAAGCTTCATTTAATGTTGTAAATTAGATTCAATAATAGTAATTCAATTAAATAAATTATTTTTAAATTTGCATTTCTGCACGTTTAATTTATAAATTATCTATACACGTTAACACACAATAAAAATATTATACAAATGTTAATCAATCAATGAACAAGTTTTCATTGAAGATAATGTACATTTCAACAGTAAATTAAATTATAATAAAATAAATGTAAAAACTTACCATAACGATTAGAAATTTAAAAGCCATCTCGGTGTCAATTGTTGCACAGATTTTCGGGAAAAAGCTCACTGTATTTTATTTGTTCGGAATCGATCGTTAAAATTTGAAGTAATAATTCAAGTCGCGTTGTTTATTATTAAATAAAATCGATGTTGATTGTTTAAAATGTGTATTTAAAATAAATGTTTTATTTTAATATCGTATGACTTTATATAATATTTTAGACTTTGTTTAGGAAATGGTAATTGCGCATCGGCGGAGAGCAATTTTAAAAATGCGTGTGCATCGCAAAGAGTTGTCAAATAAACTGAGCCGCGGTTTCGCTCAGCGTTGCTGCTTCATTATTTCGCAACGCGCGATCCTCGTTGTTTTTACAACCTGGCAGACCGACAACAACACTCGGTAGTAAGGACGAAGCAGGAGCTCTTCGGCTGCTGCACACGGCCGTCCCTCGAGAGTTCGGACCTCTCCATTCCGCGACAAAGATGATATGCTGTACATAACACACGTGCACCCACGTACATTGCATAATAATATAATGCTCTACATCAAATCTCTTCTACATTAATCATTGCACCTCGCATTAACTACTACGACAATTTATTTCTTCTTGTATTTGAATAATAATCATACACTAACTCAATTAATACAGTTGTAAATAGAAGAACAAATTAATGATCTATTCAAATTATATTGTTTGAATATTTACCGTATTATTCAATCGTGCATATTCACTATAGCATTATTTCTCAAACTTTTTGGTACTCGGCCCCCTTTTGCACTTAAAAAAATTTCTACCCCCCAAATAATTGGTATGTATAGAAAAACCCGGATTGATCTGACATCAATATTTCTGCGACCCCCACTTTGAGTATCATTATAGTACTGTTTGTAATTTTCAATGCAAAGTAAATTTAGATTAAGCAAAATAAAAATAAATTCCAATAAAATAGTACACAAAATTATTTTGTATAGATAAATTATCATTTTGTGCTGTTTTAAATTCCAGTTTTAAATTCCTTTTCAATTAGTACTGTTTCGGATAGTGCGGGATATTGGCGGAAAGCATAAAACTATACTTATTTACGCAGAGAAATAAAATTTGAATTGAGCGTTTTATTATCATTCAGAAAAAAATGTTTTTTAACGAATATTTTATTATAATTTTATAAATACATTTTATTATTTTATATTTATCTATTAGCGCGACTAATGGTTAACGTATGGTTAACGATTTTGTGGGCGCCGGTTCGAATCCTGGTCATGCCAGGCCCTGTGTGAGCCCTTTCGGTGCTTGCAGCAATAGGGTCATCGTTCATCACAGATGGACAGTCAAATGAATGAGGATCAGCCAAGTCGATGGACAATGACAGTGTTAAGGATAGCAGCAGATTCACAGTCAAAGGAAATAGTGGAATCTCAGATCATCAATATACTACTAAAGTTAACTTGCAAGACGACAGCCAACCAACAAATTAAAAAAATCAAATCATCATAATGGTAACTATCCACCAGGAAAGATTATCCATTTAATGTCAACCGCGATCTTAAATTTACTCAATGTTCACATTGATGAACAGATTGTGAATAAAATTATAAAACATAAAAAAAATATCTATAACTGCTGCAATAAATACAAAATATTATATAATACAATATTCTGATTGATTCATTTATGTTTCCTTTATTTAATTACTGCAAGATCTACTTATCGTTTCATTGAAAAGGCTAATGACCTAAGCTGATGCCTCGAGAAAAAAATAATATTAGGTTAAAAAGAAATACAAAATTAATGCATAAAATTATGAATAAAGTATTAAAAAACTTCCGTAATATATAATTATACATTTAAGTACATTTCCTTTTAATAATCTAGTAATTTACATAATATTAACATCATACATAATTTTAAAAAAACTTACGAAAATTAAAACATATTTTTAAACCCCAAAATATATTTATATATGTATTTTCTGGACCACAAAAACACTTTCATCTGTGAAAATCTCTTTGGAATTGAAGCGCCATAAGATCTAATTGTTATTAAACATTATATTATAATAATTAAATAATGAACGTTTGAAGTTCTAACATTATTCTAATTTTTCAAATGTTATCATTATAATTATAATAATTGCAAAACAAAATAGGTATTTATAATTAGAAGCAATATTTATAAACTATTCATTTTTTTTTCGAATATTATTATTATGAATTATGAAAGAATTATAATTTATTTATTATATTTAAATGTTACACAAAGAACAGGATTGATCTTCTCTGATCGTTATTAGAAAAATAAATAATATTTAAAAAAATAATTTAATATTTGTAGGATGCAAATAAATTTAGTTAATATAAGAATAAATATACGGTGGAACCTTGCTTAACGAGCACCTCGCAATTGTAAGAAAAATGACTCGCTTAACGAGCGACGTTTCGTATAACGAGTGACGATGAGAAGACAAGTTCCGGATTGCGCGCCTGCTACATCATTTTTAAAACTTGTGTACACATATTATGTGTATTTTTGAATAGGTTTCACTATACGAGTAGAAATCCGAAAATTTTGGAACGGATTAAACTCTTTAAGCGAGTATATGAAACTGATTAACCTTATTAATCTATCTTTTTCTAAAGTAAATAATTATTTTTAGAGTGATATAAGTGTTAAAATTTATATTCAGTAGTAATAATATTGCAATTAATAAAATTATATTATTTCTCACAGTAATATTAAAAAATACAAACATGCATTTCTGCATATTTAATGTGGTAATTTATAAATTATATTTATACGAGTTAACACATAATAAAAACAAATGTTAATTAGTCAATAAAAAAACGTTTCATTTATGATTATTTTTATTTGTATTTTATCTTTAGTTAGTTAACAATTTATTCATTATTTTTTAAAGACTTCTAACAATGTCCAGATATTCTCTTAAGTTTAATAGATACCTTAATTCACATATACCTAATTACCTAATAAACGTAATTACAACAGTTGAAATATTACCTAACAAATTATATATGGGAAATATTGAGAATACTCGTTTTTGTGTGACAAGAAATACATATTAAGAAATACAAGTGTTCTTTATTTATCAATATAAAATACATATATGTTAAATGGGCAATAATAAGTTTGTGTGTGTTCATTTCCGGGCTTTAAGCCATACTGGTTTACTTAATTTGTTTATTGGGTTTATATCTAATGATTGTTTGTGTCGGGAGTTGGTAATGTTGTTAATTTGCTCGTTTTGTGATGAAGATCAAATTTCTTGCAAATTAATATACCAATGTATATAAATTATGAAAAATTATTCATATATTTATAAATCTTATATAACAATAATTTAAATAAGCCGTTATATTTTTCATCCTAAATCTAAGTTGGTCCTATCTTAATTCAAGCGATAATGATTGAAGTTTTCATACCAAAAATTAATGCATAAAATCAATATGAATTACAAACAATGAGATTGTTAAAAAAGTTTACTAAATATATACATTTTTTGATTATAAGTATCTATTCAGCAATATTTGAAATACCATCTGATATTTATGTAAAGTTGTTGAGAAATGTTGTACGAGATTTATATAGCATGAATAGAATAATAAAGCAGACAATCCTACACATATATTACATAATATTGACGTAAATAACAGAACTATTACATATAGAACTAAATGACTAGATCTAAACAAAATACAGATATTGAAGTCCTAATTAATAGAATTATATGATAAAAACAACAGCAGAAATTAAGCAACTAAATTAAATTTCATTAGGTACAAACATAGATTTATATATAAATTATTTTATAGTGTATTTCTTTCACAAATTATATAAAACTTCTCATATTTATGAAGACAAACATTTATAGGATACTGTGATGGTTTTCTTCAGTTAACAACTCCATCATTAATTATTTTTTTGTAATCGATCTTTGAAATTTGAATTAATAAAAATAATTCAAGTCACGTTCATTTGTACTAAACCGTCTGCTATGTTTTCAACAGAAGTATTTAGCTGAAATAAACTGCGTATAAATAAATCCAGGGTGTAAAATATGTTTTTAAATTCTATATTTGTATTTTTCATAAAATTAAGATATACTGATGTGGTCTCTTTCTCTACACATTACATAAACTTCATCATTGAGAAGTTCAATTTATACATCAAAATACATTAGATCAGAGTTTCTCAACCTTTTTACCGTGTAACCCATATTTGATTTCAGTGCTGCCACCTATTTTTTTATAATATATAATTTTTGACATTTTGAGGCAGTCTGACAGCTGTCATGTTGCGAAAACGGTTGCATTAGATTATTATGTATAAATAATAGTCCATAAATCTATATATTCTAACACTTGTTAATAAATAAGGATCATTACACAAAACATATGTAAATTGTAAAGTGTAATAACATCAGGAAATTAATCAATAGAAAATAGAATGTTTGCTTACAAATTGGTGAGTAATTATTGTGAAAATACAGTAGATAAAATTTCCTAAATGTGAAGGCCCTGAACGTGCCAGGAAGTTTGAATGAAATGAACAGGTAAGTTGAGTTTAAATACTTTGTACAATAATTAACCGTTTATGCATAAACTGCAATTGTACAATCGTGCATTTATAAAGTGCATATACACTAATATTAAATAAGTAATTATATAGAAGTGTTAATGTATATTTAGAAAACTACCTTAAATTATATACTAAATGGTAGATAATCATAAATGTATCAAGACCTTTTTGTTTGATTAATGCTTTAGAATAGGGATGTTCAACCGTTATCTTTCTTTTAACACATACAATATACAAACGATAGTTGACCAATAAAAATAGTATTTTTTGTTGCAATCTCATAAAGTTTGTAAGTTCTTTGTTGTGGCGCATTCATAGCGTCACAGCATCAAACACGAGTTGAACAAGTCTGTTTTAGATCAAAGTTTTACTATTTTTATCCAATTAATTAACATTATCAGTTTAATTTTGTATATAAAAAGTTTTAATTGTTATTATGCAATAAAACCAAGTTTAGTTTCATTTCATGTAACCAATACACGTTATTCAATAGACGTTCGATTGCCTATTCATCTCGTGTGATCTTATTCTGTATAC